CATCTATCTATCTCTCTATCATCTATCTATCTATCTATCTATCTATCTATCTATCTATCTATCTATCATCTATCTTCCCCCTCTGGTTCTGGTCCCCTCTCTTTCTCCCTTGCGGGTGAGTTTCTTTTACAACCTGTTGGTTTCCTAATGTACATGTCAGCAAGTGTGGCCATGGATTCTCAGCTTTCACTGCCCCAGTCCCAGTGTTTGCACACTGTGCTCCCTGCTCTGTCCTTGCTTTTCTGCTCTGTGCTACAACTCTGAGCTTGTTTCTTTTCTGTACACATGGGGTCTCCTCTGTTTTGGAGCTGTGTCCTGTGGGTGAATCGTACTTTCTTTAACCCACATTCTGTTGGTGGATACCTAGCTTCTTCTGGATCCCTGCTAGCTCTAGCCACGCTGCAGTAAAGAGCGTCGCTCTGACCAGACAGGTGTTATCTGGGGGAAGGACTGACTGGTAAAAAGAAACATGATTTTCTGCCTACTCCTCTGCTCCAGCGCCTCACATGCTCCTATACATTGGTGGCTGCTTTCCTGCAAAGGTCAGTCCGTTTTCACCTGCTGACCTCCCACTCCCCCTCTTTACTCTGCTAACAGCCTCCTCTGCCTCACCCTGGCAGCCTTTGGCTGGGCCTTTCCTACAGGGAGGAAGGGATATGGGAACAGGGGCTGAAAGCAGATGGTTGGGAGCAGAGATGATGACTTCGCGCCCCCACCCCCTTCCCAAGGGACCCAGAGTTCTGGATCTAATTCAAATGTTATTATTGAGATAATGCACTTCAATAAAACTCTTGCTTTGCGTGTGACAGGCCTATAGGAGGGGCCTGTTCACTGTTAGTGGTAGACTCATCTGCCTTCCAGAAACTGTGTCATCAAGAGAGGTTTTTTTATTTCTCTCTCTCTCTCTCTTTCTTTCTGTGTGTGTGTTTGTAAGTATACACATTATTGTGTGTGCATGCTGGTGTCATCCACAGTAACTCTTCACCTTATTTTTCTTTTTTACTTTGAGACGCAGTCTCTATTATGTAGCTCTGGCTGTCATGGAACTTGCTGTGTAGACCAGGCTGGCCTAGAACTCACAGAGATCCACCTGTCTCTCGCCCCTAGTGCCGGGATTACAGCTGTGCACTGCTACCTCCCCAACCTTTCACCGTGTTTTTGAGACACGGTCTTTCACTGACTCTGGAATTGGTTAGACCGCTTCCCAGGCTGCCCTGGAATCCTCCTGCCTCTGCTGTGATTATAAGGGTGTGCTACCCTGCCTGGCTTCTACATGGCTCTCTGGATACTGAACTTGAGTCTTCATGCTTTTGTGGCAAGGATTCACTCTCTGAGACATCTCCTTAGCCCTTGAAACCGAGTCTTTGCCTTCTTCTGCACTTGCCAGTGTAGGCTGCCCTGGGGCTTCATGGGCGCAAACATGGAGCCCCTGGCTCAGAACACTTTCCATTCTTGATATGTTTATAACAACCCTAGTCCTTCAGGCATTTGTCTGAGGCAAGATGTGACTTCAAGGTTTCCTTCTTTGCCTTCCTTCCTTCCTTCCTTCCTTCCTTCCTTCCTTCCTTCCTTCCTTCCTTCCTTCCCTCCTCCCTCCCTCCCACCATCCCTTCCTTCCCTTCTTTTGCCCACTGGGAATTGAATGCTGGGTCTGGCTCATGCTGAGAGAGTGGTCTCCCAGTATTTACCTCCCCAGTGGCTTATGGTGCATGTGTTCCCACTGAAGTCTGTTTCTGGCTTGGGTGCTGGTGTGTGGGCCTGGGCGTCCGGCATTAATGGGAGGTGGGAGTTGAGGTGTCTCCTGCTCCAGCTGTGGGTTTAGGGCGATGGGGCTGTGGCGTTTGCACCAGCCACCCCATTCTGGGTTCTAGCTTTCCCAAGGCTTGTCTCCACAGGGACTCCCTGCATCGGAGCCTGTCGTGCGGTGCTGAGACCCGGGGCCTCAGGCCCAGCTCTAAGAGCAGCCAGTGTGGCAGAGGGTGGCTTCTGGGTCACAAAGCTCGGACTACATGTTGAGTCCCATACCCCGATCCTCTGTGTCTCCTAGCTCTGCAGCAAGATCCTGGAAAAGACGGCAAACCCTCAGTGGAACCAGAGTATCACCCTGCCTGCAATGGTGAGCGGGGACCCTAGCAGGCTCAGCGCCTTGTGCTCCCTGAGTCCTGCTGGCAGCCTTGGCTTCTGCTCAACTAGGGGTTGATCTTCTCACTCAGATCCCTTTCCTCCCTCAGTTTCCCTCTATGTGTGAAAAAATGAGGATTCGTGTCATGGACTGGTGAGTTCTGGATCCTCAAAGGGGTGGGAGTGGGGTCTCCAGGGGTCCTTGGGCCTGTCATTTTCATGTACCTGTGCTGCTGCTGTGACAGAGGGGCAGGCTAGGAGGGCTTTGGGCAGTTATGGGGCAATCAGGACCTGGGATGCTGTGCTGACAGCAGAGAAAGAGGTCACAGCCAGGGACAGTGAAGAGCCCTCTCTGGAGGGTTCCTGAGGAGTTGCTTTGATAAGTCATGAGTAAGGGCCACGTGCAGGTTGTGGGAGCCATGTCAACTTCTTTTCCCTGTGGGATGGAATGGAAGAAGAGCTCCACCCCCATGTTGGAGTTGTGGGTTACATTTCCTGAGTAGGGGTCATCATTGTAGGTGTTGAGTGGGTCAGGACAGTAGCCTGTGAGTGTCTTAGAATCTTACCACTTGGTGAACACCAACTTGCAGGCCAGGGCTGTGTCCAGAAAGCACCTTCCACACTTGTGAGTTTATCATGACAAGGTGGCATTGTCCTGCTTCATAGAGGAAGACGCAGGGAGGAGAGACCAAATGACCTGTCTGAGGTGACAGTTCAGGGGCCCAAAGTGAATCCCAGCTGGAGCTGGGATTTTGCCTGACCATGCTGTCTCTCACAGCAGCAGTAAGGAGGCCACCTTTCTCAGACTTGAGGGGATGTCAGGGCCCAAGCTCCACAAGCTCCAGGCAGTAGGCTTTCCACAAAGAGCAAGCTGTCCTTTCTCTGCCCCCAGAAGGGCTGGTCATGTGGCTCCCTGGCCATTCTCCTTTGGTTGCAGGCCCATTGCACCCCCAACTAGGAGGATAATGAGAGACCAGGGGAAAAACCCCAGGCCGCAGAACCATTAAAGTGTGTGCCAGTTCCCCAGGCCTAAAGAAAACAGATTGAGAGAATTAGAGGGAAAGAAGTGTGGGCAGGGGGCAGGGAGAGGTCCTGAGGTCTGCCACGGCTGGTGTGAGCCTCGGGGAAGGGGAAGCGGTTTGGTGGAAAGGTCCGCTTTGCGTTCCCAGAGCCATCTCTGCATGTCAGCTGGCAGTGACTGTGCCGGGCTGACTGGGGTAGCCTGGTGTGCGTGTGTGTGTGTGCGCGTGCGTGCGTGCATCTGTGTGGGTGCGTGTGGGGGTGGTTGGCCCCGTGGATTGTGGCTGTCCCTGGCCCGACTCCCTTGGAGCCATGTCAAAGCTATCAGCATACTGTACAATCCAAACACATTACAGAATCTGGTGGCTGCATCTCTGGCTTGGGTTGAAGTGGCACTTTTATTGTGAATCTATTTTGAGACTCACTGTTTTCCAAAAGCCCCAAGCCCCCAAACCCAGCTCTTGGCCAGAAAGCAGCCACTGCTCAAGCTTCTCTCCAGAACACACAGGCGAACTCCTCCTGTCACCTGAACCTTAGAAATATGACGCTGTGCATGTGGCTCCGTAACTTAATCTTCCACTCGAGGCTTCAAGAATTCCTTTTTCATTAAAAAACAAAATTCCTCAGGGCTGGAGAGATGGCTCAGTGGCTAAGAGCACTTACTGCTCTTTCAGAGGATCAGGGTTCAGCTCCCAGCGCCCACCACGTGTAGCTCATGATTGCCTGTAACTGCAGTTCCAGGGAATGCGTTTCGGCCTCTGTGGGCAACTGCATGTAGGACACATAGACTTGTTCAGTATGTGTATGTGCGTGTGTATGTGTGTGTGTGTGTGTGTGTGTGTGTGTGTGTGTGTGTGTGTATATGTATATGTATACATTAAAAAAAAACCTTCTCACTAACCTCCTCACTAGAAACCACCTCCAAAGGAGCAACAAACACCACCCGCTCTTCCTCTCCGACCCCTTTAGACAAGGCCAGAAATGGAAGCCCAGTCCCTTTTAAAATGTCCCCAGCTTGCTTAGTCTCTGAGGCATCAGCTTAGGCCCCTATCAGTGCAACAGAAACCAAGAGAGGGGCGTGATGTCAGGCAGTGGTGCTGGTCTCCTCTAGGAAGCTTCCTCATGATGTGGCTTACCAGGAGCTGTGATTTGAATCTGGGCTGAGAGGCCGCTCATTCTTCCTCATGCAACCCCTGTCCCAAGGGGAATGCCAAAAGTCAGACTCACTCCCCTTTCTGGGAAATCTGAAGAGAAAGGAAGGGCTAGCGACTGGGCTACCCAGGGGGTTAGGGTGAAGAGGAACATGAACTCAGTGTGCCTTTGGTGCTGGATGGATCTGCCAGAGTGCTCACAGTGGGGAGGGAGACCCCGGAAAACCAAGAGGAGGGGTTGGGAGTGTGCAGGAGAACCTTCCTGAGGGATCCAGGGTCTGCCCAGGCTGGCATGCTGACCTCTGCCATAGTAATTCTTGTCTGTGGGTCTGTCCCTTGAATCACACGTGATTCAGCACCCGTGGCCTCTGTCCACTGGAACCCTGAGCCTTCTCTTCTCACACAAAAATGTCTCCGGACAGCCATGTATGCTCTGGGTGAGATCCCTTAGGTGGAGAATCCTGGTCCCATCCTGAGGAAGGGACAGGTGGGGTGGTCAGGGCTCTGGGATTCTCCTGCCTCAGAGCTCTGTATGTGAGATGTTATTTTAGTGTGTGTGTGTCCTGTGAATGCAATGAGGTGCAAATGGAAGTTAGAGGATAACTTTATGGAGGCTGCTGTCTCCTCTATTCTTTCACCTCTATTTGAGTGCAGTGATCAACCTCAGGTTACACGGCTTTCAAGGCAAGTGCCTTTACATGCTGAACCATCTCACCAGCCCTCGGGTAACTGATTGTCTCAATGTCAGCACCCTCACCTGAAGCTGGGGCCCATCATAGTACATACCTGCGAGGGCTGCTGGGGGTCCTGAGAATTAAGTAACGGGGTGCCTTTATTGACTGGTTGATGGAGTGTGTGTGTATTATGTGTGGCAGATGTGTGCATATGTGCATACACGCATGTGGGGCCAGGTGTCAAGTCCTCAACCTTCTCTGCTTTAGTTTTAGAGATAAGGCCTCTCTTTAATCCTGCGGCTTGTGATTTAGGTGAGACTGGCTGGCCGCCTGCCTCACCTAGCTCTGCTCCTCCCTTCTGGCTGACACAGGAAGGGCCTTCGTGCCTCCACACCTAAGTTCCTCACCCCGCAGCCGATGATAAACAGCACTTGGTCTCTAAGCAGTTGTGAAGCTCCTTTGGGATAAAGGTTGAACATGCGTTGTCACAGCTAAAGTCTCTATAAAGGCAGAGCACAGCAGCACTGGCCCCTGCCGTGGCCTCTGAGCTGGCTTCCTGGAGCACCTCTGGAGCTTGGCATTTCTTGGGCTTCCAGGACCTTTTGGGTCTAGAAACTTCTCCTCAGCAGCTTCCTTCCTGCTCCCCATCCTGCCTGCCTCTGGCCTTCTCCCTGCCAGCCTGGGATGGTGGCCCCTGTAATCCACCTGACATGGAGTATAAGGCTGTCAAGAAAAATAGTCACCCCTCGGGGTATCTTGAGCAAGTTTCCTGTCCAGTCTCTTCTCCCTTGGGCTTCCCAGGCCTCAGTAGAAGACTGGACGCCTGGCAATCAGTCACCAAGGTCGCTTCCTTCTTGAGTGGGCCGTGTCCTGTGACTGCCTCGCTCATGCCCTCTTCCCATCCCTGTTCCAGGGACCGCCTCACTCACAACGACACTGTGGCCACCACCTACTTGGGCATGTCGAAAATCTCTGCCACTGGAGGAGAAATAGAAGGTATGTCCTGCTTGCTCTCTGTCTGCCCCATCCCTGCTCATTCTATTTCATCCCTCGGATTGGAGAGCCTGCAGGCTCGGGGGCATTGTCAGGCCTCTGTGATTCATTTCTCAGCGAGAGCTCCTACTGTAGCCCTGGTACACACTGGATAGTCCAAAGGCGTCCCATCAGTCCCGAGGGGCACGTGCCGGGTTCCACCCCGGCCCCGAGTGCCCGAGTGCCCAGTGTTCCTATTTTGCAATGGGTTTTATCGATCTACTAAAATGTAACCTATTTTCAATTTGTAAAAAAAAAAAAAAGTAACAGTGAGCCAGGAAGTGGTGCCACACTTGGGAGGCAGAAGCAACTGCATCTTGATGAGTTTGAGGCTAGCCTGGTCTACAAAGTGAGCTCCAGGACAGCCAAGGCTACACAGAGAAACTCTGACTCAAAAAAAAAAAAAAAAAAAAGTAACTAGTGGTCCAAAAGAAGACCACACTTTCCCATGAGATGCCCTTAAGTCCGTCACCACAGGAAAGAACAGTGTCTGAGACTCCTGGGAGATGCTCACGTGACGTGCACCTATACACACTAAAATGAGTCATTTGCTCACTGCTTTTTGTTACTTGGCAATACTAGGCTGAGGTCTTAGTTTCTTGTAATTAGGGATTCTTCTAGAACACTTTTTTTTTTTTGGCAGTCCTGGAGATTGAACCCAGGACCTTGTACATGGCCGCTGAGCACTCTCTCCACTGATTTACATCCCTAGCCTTAGAATACAACTGTAATAAATCTATGTTCCATTGCGAGTGCACACAATCAAATGAGCTAGTTGATGTGGCGCTCAGTCATCCTCTGATGTTTCTTCCTTATAAAGAACTTTGTAATGAATGCTTTCATAGCGGAGTTTCATGCTGTGCATAGTTACGGCAACAGCATGAGTCTGGAAAGATGGCATAGATGTTAAAAGCATCTTCTGCTCTTGCAGAGGGCCAGGATTTAGTTCCCAGCACCCCCGCGAGGCTGCGCACAACTACCTGTAGCTCCAGTTCCAGGGGATCTGACACCTTCTTCTGGCCTTTGAGGGCACCTGTGTGCATCTGCTGTACATACACATGCAGGAAAACACACAGGATAAGATGGTTTGTGTGTTGGGGCTGAACTCAGTGCTTCCGATGTGCTAGGCACGCACTCTGCCACTGAGCTCTGCCGCAGCTCTTGAGTGCTCTCTCACCTAGAGTCAAGCTGTCAACAGATTGTAGCACTTTCAAAGCCTTCTGTCAGTACTGAAGGTGGCCGTCAGAAGGTTGAACTAATGTGCGCTCAGAATCCTCCATACACTTGATGCCACTGTTCTGACGTGGCTAAAACAATACTGGAGTTGAGCGTGGTGGTGCAGGTATGGAATCCTAGGTCTTGGGATGTAGAGGAAGGAAGATCAGGAGTTCAAGTTCATCCTCAGTGACAAAGTGAATTCAAGGTCAGCCTGGGTTACCAGAGGCCCTCACTTAAAACCAAACCAAACTACAACAAACCCGGAAAACAACAAAGAGAATTTTATTAATTTAAAGGTTAAATTAATTTTTTCATTTCATTGACACAGTGAAGTGGGCCAACTGTACATTTTAATTTTGTATGTATTGTACATATATGTATAAAATATGTTATTTATACATACATGTATATGTTATATGTTACATATATATGTTATAGCTATTCAGTCTCCATGACTGTGAGCACTAACTTTGAGCTTACTCATAAAAAGTTCTTGTCAGTTATATTTGAATACTTTCTGACAGACAGAAATTAAATTTGCATGTTGCCAAACCTGTTAATCTCTTACTTAGCAAGTAAGGCAGTGAACTACCATCACCTCCTCAAAATTGTTTTTTGGTGATGTCAGCAACGCACTTTTCCTGTCTCCATCTCCAGATGCCATCTTTCTCATGTCCTCAATCCACAGTGTCTCTCGAGCTCAGCCCTGGGTTCTCTGTGATCTTCAGTTGGTCTTCTTCTTAGGCTTGCTTTTGGTATCTGGGTTATGCTGGCCCTGTAAAATTAATCGGAAAGATTTAAAGTCGTTTAACATCTGGGAACAGTTTATATAACATAGAATATAGTCTTTTGAGGGTTTGAAATTAGTCACCCATGAAACCACGTGGGCTTGATGCCCTTTTTGAGTGGGCGTAGTGATGCTCTTTATAAACTTTTCAGCTTCTCTTGTGATCATTGCTATTTTTAGGTTATTTTTGCTCTTGTCAATTTTGATAATTTATGTTTTCTTAGCAAAACATCCATATATTTACAGTGTTTCTCACAGTGACTTCTAGAATTTAGGCACTTTTTTCTACCTGTGCCATTTCTCTCTTCTTTAATGTGTTTGACTTTTCTTTTTTCTTTTTTCCCCCCCTCAATTAGCCTTCCAGCCTTCAAAACAAAAACTTTTATAGATGTCTCAGTTCTGGGTTCCTTCGCTTTGTTTAGACTTATTTTGCTATTTCCTTCTCAGATTTTCTAACTACCTTGTGTTTATTTTTAAAGTTTCTTATTTAAGTAACACAAGTTTGGTTTCTGCTTTATAGGCCATGTACAAATATTTGACAAACTTCTAGGTTTTATTTAAGTCGTTTTTTCCCCTTTTGAGTTAGTCTTATGCAGTCTAGGCTGACCTTGAACTTGTGTCTGCAAGGTGACCTTCAGCTCTGGATCTTCCCGACTCCACCTTTCAAGTGTGAAGTACTCAGCCACATGCATGCGCGCCTGCTTTGTGTGCTGCCTGTGAAAAACTCAGAGCTCTGTGCATGCAGGCAACCTCTGCCAGCGAGCCACACCTCCAGCCTTTCTTTAACAAGCTTATTTCCCCTCAATACATAACACACTTTGAATTTGTTCTGCTGCCTGTTCTGAGAAAAGTCTTGACTTGTTTCCTTGTGGGAATCTTGACTAGATTCTGAATGTATCTAGAAGATGCTCATGCAGAATTTATCTCTAACTTCCAAGAAGCAGTTTGTTGGTGATCCTGTTGTGTGAACATTGCTGAGTGTGCTCCCACAAACTGAGGCGCCGTGATACCTCCACACGGCCACCTTTGTACTGGAAGCTCACGGTTAGCTGTTTGCAGACTTGGTTGGATTCTTTCTGAGACAGGTGTCTTGAGTTGAATGACGTAGTCAAGTCTCTGCCGTGGATGGCTGAAGGCAGGATGGCTGCTGCTGACAGTGCTGGCTGTGCAGCCCGCTGGGGCTCAAGGTCTCTGTGCCAGGGGTCACTCAGTCTCCTCTCTACAAAGCAGGGCGCCTTGCTCCCTCTTCAGGACCCAGTGGGCTGCCCGCTTGTGTGTCCTCTGGTGTCGGGTGTTCAGAAGCAGTTGGACACTTGTGCTGGGCTGCCCTCAGCAGCATCCATCTTGATGGTTTTCTTCTCTTCCCCCCAGAAGTTACCCCAAAGGCTGCATCCCCTTGTCTTATTGCCTGAATTTGAGAACCCCAAACTCTTTCTTGTAGCATTCAGATGGAGGCTCTCCTGAACCTTCGGACCGCATCTCCCTGATTGGAAGCACTCTGTGCCCCTCTAAGATGGAGGCTTTCATGGATAGCGAAGTCCTGTCTGGCATTCCGCCCCCTCTTTCACTGTTATTCACGTGCTAGTGAGGGCCCCGTAGGCATATCTGCACGGCCCGGGCAGGGTCTCTGTCCATCTCGGCTACTCTGCAGCTTTGGTGGTTCATGTGCCTCATTCCTGGGGTTTCTCATCCCTCCTTTTTAACTCTTCTGAAGCATTTTTCAAAATAAAATGCCCTTGAGACAGAGTCACAGCTGTAGCCCTGGGCGGGCCTGGCACTGGCGTCTCCTCTGGGTTCTGGTGTACGGTGGTCAGAAGACGCCAGCCTTGAACCCAGAGAGATCTGCCTGTCTCTGCCTGGAGTATCTAAATTAAAGGTATATCTTGCACACTTGGCTTTTTTTTTTTTTTTTTTTAAGGTAGGGTGTCATGCATCCCAAACTGGCATGATCTCACAGTGTAGCCTAAACTTCTGACCCTCCTGTCTCCAGTCCCCCAAGTACTGACATTACAGACATGTGTCACCATGTCCGATTTACATGGTATGAGAGACTGAACATAGGGGTTCACGCATAGGTACTCCACCAGCTGAGCTGTGTCCCCGGTCTCCAGAGGCTTCTAGTTCAGAAAATCCCTAGTGCACAGCGAAGTTGAGGATTATCCGGTGAAGCCCTTGGTGTCTAGAACTGATCTGCCATTCTGACTCCATCACCGAGTCTTTGAGCTGTTCACACAGAGATACTTGTGGAAGGCACGCTAAAGGGACTGCCCTTCCCTCTCAGCTGTGAGGATGCTGCTCTCCAGAGTGTAGCCTGCATGGGGAGGTGGTCAGAGGTTTTGGTGAGCTGCTGCTTTGCACATACAGGCAGAAGCAGGAGACGGGGGGAGCATCTTAATGTGGGGGACACAGAGGCAGTTCTGGCCACCCTGGGGGTCTCAAGTCTTCTTCAGTTTTCAGACTGGGTGCTGTCTCTGCATCCAGAAACTAATGATGGTCAAGGCACAGTATGTCGTTTTTGAGTGGTTGTGTGTGTGTGTGTGTGTGTGTGTGTGTGTGTGAAGTTTCTGATATGACACAGCTATGCCTCTGTCCTCAGCCATCTGATGAGTTTAGGCTCCCCCAGCCCTATCAGCCTTCATCTTGATATATTCTTTTTATTGTATAATCATTTGTCCTGTTTATTTATTCCATTAATTAATTGACTAAATAAAGTAATACATTTACTAATTAATAAATCAATAAATAAAATAGATTACTAACAATAATTGATTCACTTGCTCGTTGTTCTGAGAATTGAATTTAGGGCCTTGGCCATGCTGGCAGGCACTGTGCTCGGTGTCTAGCTAGCTAGCCCCTGTCACCCTGCTTTTGAAGAGTTGAGGAACTTCTCTCCATGGTCACTAGATGGTGCTGAAGCCGGGAGCAACGTGTGTGCTGCAGCGGTGGAGCCGGAGGCTAGACCACAGGCTAGACCACAGGCTAGACCTCAGGCTAGACCGCAGGCTAGACCACAGGCTAGACCGCAGACCAGCTCAAACCAGCTCACCGCTTCTGGCTGTGCAGCCAGAGGGCTAGATCAGTGTGACAGCAGAGTTAAATTTATTGTTCAAACTGGGTTATCCTTTGGGACTTCCCTGGTTCCCTGGTCCCTTCGTGGAGAGGTGGGCCCTTCCTCAGGTGGCAGCACCTGTCCAGTCTGAAGGTTGTGTCTTTCTTTGCTCGGCTGATTCTCTCCCTAGCTGGAAAGCCCCTCTTGCGACAAGTGCCTGCCACTTTCCTTACCTGTTTTGTATCCTTCTTCCCGAGGCAGGCAGGCACACTGCCTTATTTTCTCTCTTCTCCCCAAACGCAACACAAACTGGACTGATGTTGGTTAGAGTGTGCACCCAGTGTTCAGGAGGCCTGGGTTCCACCCAGCACCATACAAACAGGGCATGGTGCCATGTGTCCGGTAGCCCAGCCCTTGAACGCTAGAGGCAGAAGGACTAGGAGTTTGAGGTCATCCTTGGTCGCACGGCGAGTGTGACCCACCAGGCTAACTAATGAGACCCTGTCACCTAACAGCACAACAAACGGCTCAAACAAAACCCACTTCTTTCTCTTTCAGCCTTGAGGTTTCTGATGGGATGGATTAGCCCGGAGTTTTGTTTTTGTGTTCTTGTTTTTGTCCCCAGCAAGGACAGGACCTAACACTAAGCTCGTAGGCACTTCTGCCCACAAGTTTGCCTGGGCACACTGAAGTATTTTTTGGACCCTATGCACCAATGTATTAAGGGGAGACTTTTTTTTAAAAGGAGGATGTATTCTCCTTAGATGTGGAAGTTCTTTTGGAAGGCAGTAGGCGTATGGACCTGTGTCACTGGCAGGCGTCTTGGACACTTTCACCCATAAGGACATTGTGCTGCAGGACAGCACTGAGAAAACGAAAGTTGTCTTTGGACGATGGAAGACAGTGAATTTCTCAGCAGTCTCTCCTTTCCCATCCTGCCTGGCCTGGGCGGGTGTCAGGCAGCCAAAGCCATGGGCTTGGGGCTCTGCCGAGCCTTGGGAGCTGGCTGGGCTGGCTGGAGGTAATGGCTTGGCTTCTCCAGGGTACACACGTGTCCCTAGGAACCGCCTGCTGAGCTGTGACTTGTGGCTGGCAGCCTGCTCTGTCCCTTGCAGTTTCTCCAGGTGAGGGAGCTGGGCTTCACTCTCTCAGTAAAAAGCTGGGCGTGTTCATTTGGGACTTGGGGCTTCCTTGGGCCCAACTCTCCCGGCTCAGGGAAAACACAGCGAAACACTTGTGTTTTGGCAGAAAGACGAGCAGGACTAAATAGAGGCTTTGTGTTGGGTGGCTCCTCTGCTCACCCTGCCCTTGACTTTATGAGCTGTCTGCAGACACAGGGGTGAGAACCTGGGGAGAACCACGCATCAGAGGCTCGTGACCTGGGAAACACTGGCCTAAGACCTCGGCAGGACCCTGCCGGGGCCACTGCCATAGCTGCTTATGGTTCCTAGATGAACGAATACACGAATGGACAAGGAGGCCTGTGCAATTCTAGCCGCCAGCAGCAGGTAATGGTTAGCTTGCTGGTGAGACGGTAGACAACTGTCTCTGCCTGGGGGCCAGATTAGAACCCAGTCCCTGGCCAGAGCGCTCAGGGGTCCTATCTATGGCGCTGGTTTCATTAGTCCCTGATAACAGGCTCCTCCTGCTCAGCATCATTTGGAAGGAAATTAAAGCAGAATCTGGGGACCAAAGCTGTGCCTGTTAGGTCACCCTTCCAGGCTCAAAACTCTCCTATGCCAGGGGCCCATTTCAGTTCCTATAGATAAGAACATCTTCACGAGGCACAATTTCTGCCACATTGGTTCTCGCCAGCCAGCGTTGGTGGCCAAGATCTGGCTTCAGGGATCTGAGTGCCAACCCAGGGACTTGTCCTCTTTAGGTCTTCAGCCTCAACTCCCCAGCCATGCCTTTTCCCTTTTCCCCCAAGAGTCCTTTCTTGAGCCTTCCAGAGCTGTCCAACCTGGATTCTTTGGGACACATTAAATCCAGGTGCCCAAGCCACATCCTGAGGGTTATAGGAGAACATGTACATTTGTTTTGAGTGATACTGGAGCATAACAAGACATTTTGGGCTTCTTGTGACGAGTGGACTGTTCATTGGTTAATCCTCTAGGCGTTCCTAGCAACGGTAATAAAACTGTGGGAAAAGCAAAGGCTAGAATATTTTCATTAAATTTACTTAATGCGTGTGCGTGCATGTGTGTACATGCGTATGCTAGTGGACATCTGTCTCTTATCTTCACCACAGCCAGCTGGTGCTAGGAGACAGGCCCAGGTGGCTGGCTGCCGTTGAGGAAATAGTGTGATCTGTGGCAGTACCAGAAATGCCCACTAGGTGGAGATGTTGTGCCTTGAATGGCTTTGGCTCAGCACTCTGGGGCACAAGTGTCAATCTGTTTGGGTTTGGAGCTCTGGGTGTTCCCTGGTCCACAATGGCTCTTTCATGTTTCCCTTTTCATGTTTCTTTCTCTGCACCATTCCTCCTAATTTACCTGTATATAATGCAGAAAAACCACATTTTCTTTTGTGTGTTGTTTCTTGAGTATATTGAATGGAGGTCCAGGTCAGGAGGTGCTTTGGGCGGTGTGGCTGGAGTTGGGGGAGGGTGTGTGCCTCCCTTTGTTGCGCACCCACAGCGCCCGTCTGCCGGCTCTCCAGCCAGACTCCTGTTCACGCAACCATTCTCCACCCCGTTCAGCCACGCCCATCCTAACCCTCTTCCATTTCTTTATGCTTAGAGGAGCCAGCAGGTGTGCTCAAGCGCCCACAAGCCTCTGACCGTACGTTGCTGTCGCCCAGGGGACCACGAGGGGATGGGACGTGGGGGTTTCTGCTGAAGGGGAATTTTCTGACTTGCATGAAGGGGACTGAGCAGCAGCCAGGCCCCTGAGCTGACCACTGGCAAGTTGCAGCCACTGGGTAACTGATATGACTTCCTCGCAAAGCTTTGAAGCCAGCTTCCTCTGGTTCTCCCAGACCCTTCCTGAGCTCGTTGCCTCGGCTGATGCTTCTAACATGGGGGACATAGTGGGCCAGGGGGATTGTGAGCTATCTTGGGGATTTGGAGGTGGCCAGGGGAATGAGAAAGGCTAGAATCATAATTCACGAGGTAACGTGTAATTGTGATGACTGACACGAGCAGTTAGTAGTGTTTCTCCGAGTCCCCTTATTCCAAGGCTTCCCCTTTGCTTCCCGAAGCCGGGGCCCGTCTGCACTGGGGCCTGGGGGAGGAAATACGTGGAAAGGTGATAGGCAGGAGAGCTCCAGCTGCCCCCTGCCGTGTCCCAGCAGCATGGCTTAGGGTGTGCGGCCTCAGGCCCTGCTGAGCAGGCCTCTGCAGAGGTCTTTTCCCCTGCGCTTGCCCTCACTCATCCTTGTGTGGACAGAGCTCGATGGTCCTGGTGGTGGTGGTTCTGCCTTGAGCATTCTGGCAATGTCCTCTGAAAGGAAGGCCCTGCTGTTGCAGGGTTTCAGAGGCTAGCCTGTGGGGGCCTGTCCCAGGAAGGGTAGCTGTGGCCTTGTCAAGAGAACAGTCTGCTGGGAAGAGGGGCTGATGAGAGGACATGAAGAGGCAGAGGGAGGTGGCTCCTCTGGTCTCCAGGAGCTGGGACCACCTCTGCTCCCCCCTCCACCATGGCCTGAGCCCCAGCTTGTGTGCGGCCCAGCTGAGTGTGTTGCATCCTTGCTGTCCAGGGGTCAGTCACATCTCTGAGCCTCCGTTTCCCCATCTGTGGAACACGACTAATAAGATAGTAGATGTGGTCTCATTTCAGCCTAGCGAGGACTCGGGACAGAGCGGGGTGCTACGTTCATTGCTCGTCTTACCAGTTATTGTGTACAGGGGCCACATAATGGTCATGTGGGGGACACTGAGGGCTAGAGATGGAATCCGATCTGACAGTGGCTGGGTGGCGCGGTAGGAAGATCCCCAGGGCCGCCTCTCTGACGCCTGCTTGTACCTTCCAGTGGATGACAACCTGGGCTTCCTCCCCACTTTTGGGCCCTGCTATGTGAACCTCTATGGCAGTCCCCGGGAGTTCACAGGCTTCCCAGATCCTTATGCAGAGCTCAACACAGGAAAGGTGAGCAGCCGCACGCCTCCCTGAGGGTTCCCAGGCTGGCCTGGCAGTGTCTGAGCCCAGATGGCATTCCATGGACCTTATGAGGCTTCAACAGAGGACATCCTTCTATTTGGCTCTCTGGCCTCTTTCTCCTGGGCCAGTTGGACCTGTTCGCTGTCTATTCCAGGAGGCCCAGGCCCGTCTCCCTCGGGTTATAAGGCTTGGACGGGCTGGAGGATTGGTGGATCCCATTCTGTAGGGGTGGGTTGTGCTATGTTGTCATGTCTTGTGTTTCCTTACTCTTACCCTTCGCTGGTGACCTGGCTTTCTCCTGCAGGGAGAGGGTGTGGCTTATCGGGGCAGGCTTCTGTTGTCCCTGGAGACCAGACTGGTGGAGCACAGTGAGCAGAAGGTGGAAGACCTTCCTGCTGATGATATCCTGCGGGTGGAGGTGAGGCCGTGCTTTGGCAGACCGCCGGGTGCCCCTTGGGTGGCTGAGTACCGTGGTGGAGGGCCTTCAGCGTGACCCTCATTTACTATGGCGGCACTTCTCAGGGCCTCTGAGTCTCAGCTGTGAGGGGGGTGTTGCACTGTCCCACCACAGGAAGCTTTGAGGTTTAAGGGAGATAAGTGAAAGTGGCATACAAGCTCACACTCAATACAGCTAGCAATGAGGTCAGCTAGACACCATTTACCATCCGTGTCTTCAAATCCAGCATGCTGCAAGGCTAGTAACTCCATTTACAGGCGAAGGCTCAAAGGCCCAGAAATACTAGAGCCATGCATGGTATTCAGGAGCATTCAGACCCTGCAGTTAGCTACCTCGGGTTTCCCTGCTGGTCCTCCCCCCTGCCAGTTGCCTTAGTTTCCCTGTGTGCAGTCATATTTACCTTAGGAGATGGTGAGAAGAGACTTGCTGTCTGCACACAGTAGGCACACATCTGTGATCTGTCATCCCTGTTCACATGCTTTGAAACCGAGCTTTTTAGCTCCTTCCCCCACAGCTTTCCGAAGAGGTGACTGTAATAAAATCACATTGCTACATATCAAGACACGTGAATGTTTTACATTGTCTCAGCCCTATGCCTTGGGCTCAGAGGGGCCCTACTGAAGCTGCACATCCTGAGCGCATGGCTGAGGCCTGTGCAGGCTGCAGGGCTGTCTGGGGTGTGTGTGTGTGCGTGTGTGATCACTGAGAACTCTCAGCCCCTTTAAGGGGCAGATGAGGTGTAGGCTTCCCTGGGGGGCACTGCGGGAGACTCTGCTCTGTGGACGTGGTGGTGCCATCGATGCTGGTTTGGATTAAGGAGTAGCCTGACCTTGGAGGAGCAGATCATATTAGGAAACATGAGCAAATGTGCACGGACCTGCAGTGAGTTTGTTCACTCAGTAACCAAGGCTGGAGGCTGTTCCTTTGGACCTTGTGTCACTCTTCCCAGCCGGATGGAGTTTCCGGGTCCCGGTCACAGCTAGGGCCTGCCCTCTACGGATTCACACTGCTGGGTGTCTTGCTTGTCTCCTTGTGATCTCTGGCCTTCTCACTCTGCCTGCAGAAATACCTTCGGAGGCGCAAATACTCCCTCTTTGCTGCCTTCTACTCAGCCACAATGCTGCAGGATGTAGACGATGCTATTCAGTTCGAAGTGAGCATCGGGAACTACGGGAACAAATTTGACACCACCTGCCTGCCGCTGGCCTCCACCACCCAGTACAGCCGGGCAGTCTTTGATGGTGGGTGAGGCTAGAAGGGACCTGGGTCCTAGGGCAGATGCCAAACCCTAAAGCTTGCCTCTGTGGGAACCACAGCAAACCTTTTGGGGTGCTCCTCCTCTTCACTTCTGTGCTATCCCTCATACACCTCTTGTGGGGGGCATTTCACCCATAGTTTGGACTCCCGCAGGCTCTGCAGCTGCCCTTGTCTGGAGCCATCTCCATCAGTCCATGGGGTCTGGGGGCTTGGCTTGGAGACCATGGTGATGTGAGCTTGGGTTTCCCAGAGGCATTCTATCAGCCCAACAGTCTGCCCCGTCTCCCTACCCCCAAAGTGTGCTCAGGTGCTGGAAACTATCAGCCACACCACAAGCATTTAAGGGGAGAGGACCTGTCTCTTATCTTGAGTTCTCTCTCAAGCTGGGCTAGTTACAAAAGCTCAGTGGCCTCACTCCCTGCCCTGCAGAGCGGCATTTCACTGCCCCATGGCCTCTGCCCAGCGCTCAGGCCCCTCTCCCCTCCCTGCAGGGTGCCACTACTATTACTTGCCTTGGGGCAACGTGAAGCCCGTGGTGGTACTGTCCTCATACTGGGAAGACATCAGCCATCGGATCGAGACTCAGAACCAGCTCCTCAGGATCGCTGACCGGCTGGTGAGTCCTGGCCAGACAGGGTGCCTGGCCTCTCGCCCTGCCAGAAATATCTGCAGGCTTGAAGAGACCGGGTAGCAAGGGTGGCGGGGACCCCAGGTGAATGTGGGAGACACTGAGAGACAACTGCAGGGTCAGTACATGCTTGGTGCTTATTGTTAGATGCCTCTAGTTGTGCCAGAAACTTCTAGCCAGGAGCCAGAAGCTGGGGCTCCAAACTTAGATCCAGGTGGCCTTGGTGGCTGCCGAGGGAGAGGTGTGGGTGTGGAGGAGGGAACTAAGGATCTGTCACGGGGGCAATGAGAGGATGCGGGAAGGACCATATCTAGGCTATCTCAGCAAGGACTCTGGAGGATGAGGAGGGTCTGGGAGGAAGATGGCTCTCTAGGGAGCTTGTGGAGCTTGGGCTGCCAGGACTTGTGGAGCTTGGGCTGTCAGAACTTGGTCCCTTTCTCTTGGGGAGATGAAGGGCTGTGAGAGAAATGATCTGGGGTTCCAAGCTAGGAACCTGGAGAGAGGTCCAGAGTGTCTGAATGTGGGGGTAGTTCTGCTTTGGGGTAAGGAAAGGCTTCTGAGAACCAGCCTCTGTCCTGGTCTGCCTGGCGCTTGGACAGGCATGTAGGAGAATCTTGAGAGGGCACAGATGGAGAGGCAAAGGGAGGGGAGAAGGATGCTGGGAAGCTGCTGGCTGCTTCAGGCAGTGGCTCCAGGCTTCCTTCCAGAGAGCATCACCCGAGGGAGGAACGTGTGGCTACTTGGCAGGAACGAGGGGCAGCACAGGGGAGGAAGGGCTGAAGAGACCTGGGGGTGGCCGAGGAGCACAGCTGCAAGGGGTGATGTCCTTGCAATTGGCCTGTGTGGTGGTGGGCAGCTAATGCCGTAGGGAGAACTTGGAGTTGAGGCTGTGCAAACTTGCTGTCGTGCTGTCCTCTGGACTCCTTACCAGAAGTCCACAGTTCCGGGATAGCAGGGACTGTTTTCTTTCTAGGGTTTGTCCTCCAGGGTGGAGCACACATGCTCTGGTGGAGAGGGCTATTTGGGGGACTGAGGCTGCCGTGGGCCTGACGGTGTGTCTGAGGTTGGCCTCTGCCTTCCAGCCCAGGCCTTTGCCCTGAGAAGGGGAGCAGACGCAACTCCAAAGGAGCCAGCTCTGGGAGTCTGGTCCTTCTGCCCAGTGGTGGCCGCATGGCTGCTGGGGGAGGCTGGCTGGGTCTGGATCTGGCGGTGTGGCTGGCTTCAGAAAGAACTGACCAGGGTAGTCTCAGGGGGCTTCACTCTCTTGTGGGGCTGTGAAGAAGCTCATGTTCCATGTGTGAGCCTGGGGATCTGAGAGCTGGGGTGAGGGCAGTCTGGAAGGTTTGGAAGCCAGGATTGAGTCTGGCTTTGCCCTTTCCTGCTCAGTGGAAGGGCCGGGGGAGGGGTTGGGTCACCCTCCGTGGTGATACTCCTGACCTAGGCTTGCCTGTCCCACAGGAGGCTAGCCTGGAGCAGGTCCACCTGGCTCTGAAGGCACAGTGCTCCTCCGAGGACATGGACGCCCTGGTGGCTCAGCTGACAGAGGAGCTGCTTGCGGACTGCAGGTAGGGTGTTGGCACCCTCAGACGCCTCTCCTGACTCAGGACTGCCTCCTCGGGAGTGTGCATGTGTGTGGTGAGCAGAAGCACATCTCCCAGCCACGCTTGGCCAGCAGTCTGGCCGGTGCCGAGCCCAGAGCTGGTGGAGCCGGCCTCGGCCTCAGGAGTTGAAAAGGTGACGTTTTGAACAGGTCATAAATCTCCCCAGAGCAGCAGCAGCAGCTGTGGGCTGGGCAAGCCGGTTCACCTGAATGGGAAGCATTGTGTGTCTGATCCCGGACTCCTAGCTCCCTGATGGAATCTCCAGGAGAAGCTGGGGCGAGGGCACCCCTCCTTCCCCCAAGGCCTGTTGTCAGGGACCGTGTTTTCTGTTTAGGCGTTCACTGCACTGGTGAACAAAAAGGGGGCCAGGCAGTGAGGGAGAATGGGAATGCGGGTCAGCCGAGAGGCTCACCTCAACCTCTATCTCTTCCACATCCAGGAGGTAGGGTGGTCACTGAAGTTGAGCTTGGCGTGAAGAATGACTACTTAATAATATCTAATCGGCCAATGACTGACGCTGCGGAGAGGCTTTAGTAAAAGGAACTATGATTACCACAATGACAGATGCAGGGAAACCAGGAAGCCTGCGCCTCACCGCAGCCTGGTGGCTTTCAGTAGCCCTGCTTCCTCCGGCCTTGGTTTCTCAGCTATGAAACAGACTTTGTCCTAGCCATCTGCATTCTACAGGGTTCCGAGTGACAGCAGCCACCCCGGCCCCATCCTATCTTCTCCTCCCTCAGGCTAGCTGGAGAGCCCTGGAGAAGGGGATCAGAGAAATGCCCTCATCGTGAGAGATGTGTAACTGGTGGCTAGGCACCTCCATACCCTGGTTAGGAAGTGTGCTTTTACCTGGATAAAGCGTTGATCCCAAAGGAACAGCTCCGCCCCTGCTCCACCCCAAGCAGGCCATTCCTCCGTTCCCCACACCTTACCTTCCCAACTCAGGCTCAGCCCCAGCTGTGTTGATAAGGGAACAACTCAGCCCTCTAGGTATGATGGGGAGGGAGAGGCCTGGTCTGCGGGCAGATACAGCTGGCAGTGGCACTCAGGGAATCTTCCCAAAGAAGGGCTGCCTGGTGGAAATGTTAGGGGAGGAAGTGGAGAGGGCACTCCCCAGGCTAAGGCCTGTAGTCCTACGACGCCTGCTGTCTCCAGGTGCACCCAGGATGGCTGACGCCTAACAGGACAGGTTTGGGGGCTTTGTCAAGGAGAGCCCAAACTTGGGGATGTTGAGGAGGAAGCAGACTCCTGGGTCAGAGGCGATGAGAGAGGAGACGCAGGCCTGCAAAGTGAGCTAAGAGACAGGCGGCTAGGCAGTGGTGCTGGAGAGGTAAATGTGGGGGAGCTGACGGGTTTTGTGACAGCACTGTGCTGAGACGTTTGCGCGTATTCACTAAGCACCGGACTCTGCGCATACCATCCCCTGAGGGCCGAATAAGGAGACCGAGGTACACCGAGACTTACCAACACATCCAGTTCACATGTCAAATGAGTGGAAGACTATCCTTGTGCTACAGACAGGGCCTGGGGAAGGCCTGGGGTGGTTCCCTAGCTGTGGCCACAATAGCTGGGTGGGCTTTGGGGCTTAGCAGGAGGGAAGCTGAGCGGGAGTGATGAGGCATGAGGGAACTGGCCCTGGCCTGGAGGGGAAGGGAGTGGGGGGCTGTAGGGACACACAGGGCCACCTCAGCCTACGGGGGTGCCAGGATGGAGCATCTTCTCAGACTATCCTGTACTTAGGTCATGCCTACAGACAGGCCGCTGTGCCCGGTGATGCCGCTTCTGAGACAGTGGCTGCCAGAGCATGGGTCTCTGCAGTACTGCTCATGGCAGTTGTGTGTGTGTGGGGGGGGAGGGGGGGTAGGCAAGTCTGTGGAGCTGGAAATGCTTGGGCCCAACCCCTGACAAGTCTGAGATTCGGGGACATTGGAGGCTGAGGGAATTGGGTCCAGGCTCTTCTCAGTGGCCTCTCCGGGAGGATTTGTCTGAAACTCTGTCAAGCTAGGCTCTTGTGTCACTCTCCTGGGGGGAGGGGGGAGACACCCAGGGCTCTTTGAGGCATCAGCCTAGTACAGGACCTTGGAGTCGGGGTGTGTTCCCATCCTCTTGGGGTGTCTGACAGGATCTTCAGGGAAGAGACTCCAGATTCATCCCTTCAGGCACCATCTGAGGCCACCCCATGCTGCTCCAGGCTTCAGCAGGTGTCAAGGCAGACCAGGCCTGATTGATGGCTGTCAGCCTTACTGTCTCCAGCTAGGGCACTTCCCTTGCTCACCCTGAGCCTCCTTCCCTTGTGCCAATGTAGCAAAGCCCTCTTCTCTGGGTTCTGGATTCCCTGGGCCCCCTCTGCCTCATGGGTCTGTCTTGCCTGGCTGTCTGAGGCCACATATGTCCCCAAGGGTTCCATTACCATATCCCCTTGGACCTAGGGGACACCACCTTCAGAGATCACAGCACAGACCCTAGCAGCTCCCACAGCCTTCATCTCCTCTCTCCTCCCCAGCCCAGAGCTGTCCCCCTTCCCTCCTCCATCTCCCTCCCCCTCCTTCCCTCGGTAAGCATCAGGGAGAGGATGCTTTTCCACACAAGGTACCTAATAGCCTTCAGGCCTTCTGAGACATTGCTGGCTTGCTGGACACTCCCCATCCCATAATGTGCCCTTTGCCCCTCTGTACTTTCTGCCCGCCATGTTGTTCCATCGGCTTTGAAGCCCTTCCTAGCATTCTGCACCTGGGTAGCTCACGTCGGTCTGGTCAGTCTTGCAGGTACAGATCGGAGCCATTTTTCCCGGGGGTTGGGGGTAACTCCAAGGCTGTGGGGGAGTGGCATGCTGCCGCAGTTTCTCCTCAGGAGAGGGCGAAGTTGGGGGAGAGTCATCTCTTCGGACTGAAGAATGAGGCCAGTTCATTCTCCAGGGGACTGGCCAGGATACAGTCACCTACTAGGTCCCCAGAGACAGGCGGCGACTTGGTGAGCCCTGCTGTGGCCACCGTCCTTCGCAGGCGTGCAGCTTCCTGCCAGACTCCCTTTCCATACCCCTGTACTGGAGCTTCCTGGGTGTGGGGAAAGTGTGAGGGCGTCTTGTGAGCGCCAGGACTGGGCTTGGCTGGTCAAGGGAGGCTTGGTTGGGTGGTCTGCTGGAGGGTCCTCCGCAGTCTCTGACCTTGGCTGGGCTTCTCCAGCCCTCTGCTCCGGGCCCCTCACCCACCACGCGCAGCCTCCGCCCGCTGCCGCCGGCCCGGGGCTGCCGTCCGCGGCACCCTCGGGGCAGTAAATATTATATTACCACAGGGTGTGCAGTACGTGACCTGAGACGGGCCCCGGGGCTTAAGTTTCCCCGAGATGGAGCTCGCGCACCCGCTCCCCCCACCCTAAAAATTCAATTAAAAAAAATAACAGGAAAGACGCAGCGCGCCGAGGGCCTGCCAGAGCGGTGCCGCGGCGCTCCGGCGGTAATTGGTTCTGCATAGCTCGGGGAAATTGGCAGAAAAAATAAATCAGCCGGGAGCCGGGAGTCCAGACGCTGCGGGGAGGGGGCGGGGGCTGCAGCGCGGAGCAGGCCTGGCGCAGCGTTGACGAATGTCCTGTTTGAGGCCAGGGGCTGGGCCAGCTGGAGGGTCCGCGTGGGGAGGGAGGACCGGAGCCCACCCCTTCTTTTCTGGCCTTCCCCGTGGCTGTGCCCATACAGCCCCGGGACGGCGTGGAGCGTCCGTCTGTGGGGCTCTTAGCCCCTGTGCGCTGGGTCAGGAACTCTTCGCCCCGACTCATGATGGAGTTTAACTTAACTCCTCACTTGGGCTTCAGCGCTGTTATTTGAGGGCCGCGGTACCCCAGCTATGCTCAGAAGGCTTTCCAAAGCTCGGGATTCTGGGAGGGCCGTCTTGAGGCAGCCAGCGTGGATGCTTTTGTGTTCACGGCTGCTGGCCTCCCCACAGTGTCTGCAGTAGCTAGTCAGGGGTCCATAAATTTCCTTCTTAGGGAAAGTGTGCACCAACACAGAAGGGATTTATTTTAGTGTGGGACAACTTAGCCCCTGGCCTCTGCCCTAGACTACACAAGGGGCAGTATATGGACCGGCTAGGTCCCCTGATAGCTTTCAGTCAGCTGGGGGGGGGGGACACACATACAAATAAAATCCACTAGACTGGAGGTTGAGTGAGATCCCAAAAGGATAGCTTGGGAATAAGGAGGCAGAAGTAGGAAGGCCAGGGTGTGTGAGAAGGCTTCCTGGAGCAGGCAGGTCACTGGGGTGAGCACCCAAAATGCTGGCAGGGGACGGGGACCCTATCAATGTACATACTTCGGTTCAGGCACCTGCCTCTGCGTTGTGCGGAGCCTGGTTGAACAAGCACATTCCACCTGTTTCTCATAGCCAGCCCCTGTGTGACATCCGTGAAATACCTTCTGCCACCCACCTTGATCAGTACCTGTTCCGGCTGCGCACCCGTCACCTGAGCCAGATCAAAGAAGCTGCTCTGGCCTTGAAGCTTGGTCACAGTGACCTCCCCACCACCTTGGAGCAGGCTGAGGACTGGCTTCTGCATCTCCGTGCCCTGGCTGAGGAGGTAGTGAATCCTGAGGGGCGTTCTTCAGCTTTCCCGCCTCCTGTAACGTTGACCAAATGTTTACACCGTTTACATTCCTGGGTCTGTTGCTAGGTGACCTTGGGGCAGGTCACTTAATCATCTGAGTCTTAGTAAGCCCATTTGCAGGGCAGCATGCTTACCGGCATTACTGTGCCCAACTCAGAACCTGGCACACAGTAGGTACTCAACAGATGGACCCCAGCCCACTGAAGGATGTCAGTGCAAGGCTGGTACCAGAACCCAGCATGTCTGGCTCTAGTTTCATGTTGCAGCCTGCTTCCCCAGGGACCTCACTCCTTCTGGTCCACTCGTGCCTGTCTTAGGCAATATGGGTGGTAGGTTGGGGTGGAACCTGGACGTGGGCAGGGAGAGCATATCTGGAACAGAGGGCTGGAGAAGGGAAATGGGAAAGGCTTTTTGGAAAGGGGTGAAGAACCCTAGAGTTTCCTTGGGCAGGCTGGTTATCACATGACCAGTTCCCTGGGCATATCCTCATCATGGTAGGGACTGCCGCACAGGCTAGTCACTGGCGGCCTCTGGAGCCTTGCTCCTGACCCTACCCCCTTCACAGAATTTGTTCTGTGGCCGGGAGAGGGCATGGGCAAGTCCTCCTCAACATCCTTTCTCTGAAGAGCCCTGGGAGGGTGGTGAGGAGCCCCTATTGGGGCAGCATCTACTCCTCTCAGCCTGCAGATCTTAGGGTCCTAAGGTCAGCAGGATGAAAAAGGAACATCTTCCGGGGACCACATCTTCCATGCTCTATGTGGGAATGAGCATCTTCCCAGAAACCCATGGGCATTTCAGAGACATTTGTGGGGGCTCCTTTATAAGTTGAGGGCCAAAGGTGGGACCTGAGTGCACAGGACTGGATGGGAGCTGAGTGAGGCAAGACCTTGGTGGCCTTTGAGTCAGAGATCAGGCATGGCTCTGAACACACCACCATCCTCGCCTTGACTACACCCTCTCTCCAGCCCCAGAACAGCCTGCCAGATATCATCATCTGGCTGCTGCAAGGTGACAAGCGTGTGGCCTACCAGCGGGTACCCGCTCATGAAGTCCTCTTCTCCCGGCGGGGCCCCAGCTACTGCGGCAGGAACTGTGGGAAGCTGCAGACCATCTTTCTGAAAGTGAGTATTCTCTCTTCCTGGGGCTACCATAGGATTTTCTCAGCATGAGACCTTTCTTCAGCTTCCTCTGGTTCCCCATCCAGCCCTGTTGTGGAACTATCTGAAAGTCCTCAGACTTGCATCTTGGGAAAGGAGGGATAGGAAATTGAATAAACAGCTTGCTTTTTCTTCGCTTCCCTCACAAACTATCCAGATTCCACGCAGGGGGTCTAGTAGGCTTTCTGATGGGAGCTGATGTGGGGTTGGAAGGGCACTAGAAAAACAGTGTCATGCTGTTCACCTGTAAACCTAACCCTTGGTGGGTAGAGGCAGGAGGACCAGGAGTTCAGGTCATCCTCCTGGAGCTACACACTGAGTTTGAGAACAGCCTAAGCTACAAAAGACGCCCCACCCCCTTTTTAAAGCAAATTAAGGACTCCATGTGTTTAAGTAAGACTTGCTTACTGGGGCTGGTCTTTTTCAAGAATCATTCCTGGCTTCTGAGATGACCTCCAGACCTGCCCCGTGGATGAGGGGAAAGTGAGTGGGTGTCTGTGCAGGGGCTCCCGGCTTTTCTTCTGGGGGAATATTAGAATAGAGTCCAGGTGGCTTTGGTTATGGCTGTGACCTGATGATCAGAATACAGAGTGCACCCTCAGGAGATGCCTTCTCTGTGTACAGCCATTCTCAGTGGCCAGAAAGCCAGCTGTTTGCTTCTAGTTGCTCCTGATGGCTCTTCCTGGAAGGCCTCCTCAGCCTTGCTCCATCCCAGCTTGGCCTGTTTCCTTCAAGCCTCACTGTAGTGGTTCCCTTCTTTCTATCTTACCTCATACCTCTGAGCTTCCAGGATGTCATCACTGACCATATCTCAGCCTTGGCCCTTCGGAGCAGCATCTGCTGGCTGCTGGCCTGTCTGTTTTAGGTTGGCCAGCCGTTATTCTTGCCCTTTGGGATGGGAAGAGGGGGCTAGCCTCAGCCGCACAGCCTGTGTGAACAGATCACCACTGCTGTTTAGAGTGCTGTCTGGCCTTGGGCAGGTCACCAGGGCTCTTTGCATAGCCTTCCCACCTCCCATCTATTAAGTGAAAAAGAAGCTGTCCACCTCCCAGGAGTTGAGGACTGAGTTAGACAATGGAGGTGTTACTTGGTGAACTAGGTGGGCAATGGACACTTGCTCTCCTCCCCGTCCGTTCTCTTCCTTTGGGGGTTGTCTTTTGCTTCACAGATGCCACACTCGGAGATCCATCCTAGGCCGGTGTGCTGCGGAGCTTTGCACCAACTTGACACACACTAACATCGTCCCAGGAGAGGGAAGCTCAGTTTTAAAAAATGCCTCTGAAAGATTGGGTTGTAGGCAAGCCTTTTCCTAATTTTCTTAGTTAGTGACTGATGGGGAGGGTTCAGCCTGATGTGGGTGCCACCCTGGGCTGGTGGACCTGGGTGCTGTAAGAAAGCAGCTGAACAAGCCATGGGGATCAGACTAGCAAGCAGTGTTCCTCCATGGCCTCTGTGTCAGCTCCTGCCTTCAGGTTCCTGCCTTGTCCTGACTTCCTTCTGTGATGAACACCGATATGTCCTCCCCAAGTTGCTTTTGGTCATGGTGTTTCACCACAGGAGTAAAAACCTTAACTAAGACAGCCAGGACTGAGAAAATGAGTACCCTGGGAGGAGACTGATCTTTCAGAGGAGACGATGTCTCTGTGTGTGTGTGTGTGTGTGTGTGTGTGTGTGTGTGTGTGTGTGTATGTGCGCCGTGAGTCTGTTAGGCAGGAAACATGACTTTCCCCCTCCAACCTGGACTCTCTGAGGCACTTTATTTGTTTGATCCGGACCTCAGGTTCTGTCTTCAGACTGCCCTCAAGGCTGCCCCTGTCCTTGTGTGTGTGGAGTGGGGGGGCAGTGTGGGAGTGGGCTGGCAGGGCGGTGAGGGCACAGCTGCAGGCAGGCCTAGTGGGCTCCGGAGCACCGCTGCCTCTCTTCTGACCCCTTGGCCCTGAAGCCTGCAGGAGAATGTGAGCTGAAAATGTCCCCTGATTCCAAGCAAAGGGGAAAAAAAGATATAGAATTGTTTCTCGAAGTCTTCCCCACTGAGTTCATGAGCCTGCCAGTAGCTCCTGAGCAAGCACTACAAAAATGTTGGCAGCGGGCAGAGACCAAGCAAACACTGGTGTTCCTTAACTTAAACCCAAGCTGGAAAAAGTGAGCACCAGCAGAGGAGAGGAACCCCAAACTAGACATTTCTTTATTTGCTGTTGCTATTTTCGGTTAGGCAGGCTGGCCCTGTCTGGGGGAAGTTGGTGGTGGGAGCTGGAGCTGGAGGAGGGAAGGGGTGTGTTGGGGGAAAGCAGGCATTCCTGCCATGTCCCAAGGGCTGGTGGCTTGGAGGGAAAAGGCCAGCTAGCCACCCTGAGGGAAGAGACAGCCGAAGTGAACACCACAGGGAGTTCCTGGGGACCGGTGGGGGAAGAGGTGCCTCCACACTTCTCCAGAGAGGTGATGGGCCAAGGAATGGGGGATGGCCCCACAGTGGTCTGTGCCACTCCCAAGCTTCTGTGAGCATAGGGCTCTTCTTCCAGGGGCCAGGCCTTCCCCGTCTGCCTGGGAGCCCCCAGCCTGGCTTCTCAGCCTCTCTTGAACCCACCCGACTTCCTGCTGCTCTCATTAAGTGAGGTATCTCTCACCATGCTGTCTCCACTAGAGAACAGGGTGTCATTTTAAGAGGGAGGGAACTCTGCTCCCCGAGGCCGAGTCTGACCTTTGGTTTGAGTCAAATGGTGAAGTAATCGTAGGGAACGTATATATGTTTTTAAATGTTGGGTTGTTGTGGTTATTCCATTTGGCAGAGCTTCTGAAGGCCTTCAGGATAAAAAACAGCTGAACAGCAAAGAGTGGTTAACATGCTGATAAGCACTTGAAATTGTGGGGACATAAGACGCAGTGCTCACGCCTAGCCAAAGCATGAAGTACTGAAAATGAAACGAAGTGCCTGCCATTAATTGCTCCTCTTCTGGAGCGGGGTCTCTGTTCTTCTGTTTCTAGGGTGGCACAAGGTCCAGCATGGCAGCCGTACAATTGCTTAAATTAGTTAAAATCAAATAAAATGAAAATTCTTTCCCTTGGCTGCATGAGGCACTTTGAGATGGCTTGTGGCTGCTGTACTGGACCTTGCAGATATGAGCCATTTCCGTTGTAGTACAGAGTTCCGTCAGATGACAGAAGTGAGAAGAGGGTGGGGACAGGGGTACGAGAGACCCTGTTGCAGACATGACCCAGAGCTCCTGTGGCTGCTGTAGTCTTCCTTGATGAACAGGACTCTGAGGGGGGATAAACTTCTTGGTTATAGATCCCATGATTATGACATTCGGTGTAGTTTCTGACAGAGCACACCTGACTGGGGGTTGAGCTGGTATGCCCAGGCCTGAGGGGTGTTTGTGTTTCTTTGATCCCAGTATCCTATGGAGAGCGTGCCTGGGGCCCGGATGCCTGTGCAGATCCGGGTCAAGCTCTGGTTCGGGCTCTCTGTGGATGAGAAAGAATTCAATCAGTTCGCCGAGGGGAAGCTCTCTGTCTTTGCCGAAACGGTGAGTGTATACCTGCCTCCTGGCCCTTGGGTCCTGAAGCTGTGTGACCTCTCACCTCTCCTCCTTCTTTGGTCTGCAGTATGAGAATCAGACAAAGCTGGCACTGGTTGGGAACTGGGGCACAACAGGCCTCACCTACCCGAAGTTTTCTGACGTCACAGGCAAGATCAAACTACCGAAGGATAGCTTCCGTCCCTCAGCTGGCTGGGCCTGGGCAGGAGACTGGTTCGTGTGTCCAGAGAAGACGTGAGTGGTAGTCCCATGGTGGTGGATACCCAACCGTTGCTCTCCCTCCTCCCCAGCCCTTCCTCTTAAGTCTTGAGGTCTGTAGATCCTTCTGCCTGCTCTTGCTGAACCGTCCTGGGGCGGGGGCTCAGCAGGAGAAACTCAAACACTCAGAAATAAAGTGCTGTTTGTGTCTGGGAATGGCTCAGTCGGCAACACTTGTCACACAAGTGTAAGAACTTGACTTGATTGTCCTCTGACTTCCACATACATGCATGCATACATGTTTGCAACACCCGCCCACCACAAACCTGCACCCGCCATGCACACCATTTCAACACACACAGAGTCCGTTATTATTAAGCATGCCTTGGAGTTGACACCGGTTGTGTTCCTTGTCCTCCATGATACAACAGACAGTGTCCACTCATACGTGGCCATTCCTGTTCCAGTCAGCTCACTTGATCTCGGAATAGTCCCACCTCAGGCAGCCCTTCTATGCCGCCTCGGTCATTCTCTCCTCTCTTCTATCGTTGAGTGACATTCAGTAACTTTTTAAAGCTTGAAGAATAACTGTATAGCTTGATGATATTTTCATTGGGTTTGGTGCCTCCCGTTGGTCTCCTTTTGCCTCGTTTCTACCTCAGGAGACACATTCTTTGGCTTGTGACCATCTCTTCCTGTTCTGAGCCTCCTTTTCTCTCACTGTCCCAGTCTTTCTCACTGCCCCTCCATCAGGGTCACAGCGAGGCTGACAGTGCAGGTGGGCTGAGGAAAGGTGCTGAGGGGAAGAGAGTCCTCAGTGACCCTGGTACTGTCCTCCCAACAGCCTGCTCCACGGTGCTGATGCTGGTCATTTGAGCTTTGTGGAGGAGGTGTTTGAGAACCAGACCCGGCTCCCCGGAGGCCAGTGGATTTACATGAGTGACAACTACACGGACGTGGTAAGGGGGTGCTTGGGTGGCCAGTGTGCACTTTCTCTGGGGCCCCGGCTGTTTGGTCCCATGAAGAGCCCGAGGCTCAGAAGGCTGGTGTTCTCCCTTGCTCCTGTGCTCCAGAGGGTGGTGGCCTCGAATCCTGTGGGTGCTCAGTCTGCATCGTCTGAACCGTCTCACGCCTATTGTGTCTCTAGAATGGGGAGAAGGTGCTTCCGAAGGATGAAATTGAATGCCCGCTGGGCTGGAAGTGGGAAGATGAGGAGTGGTCCACAGACCTCAATCGGGCTGTTGACGAGCAAGGTGGGAACACACAGGGCCTGGGTCCTACCCTGACCAGCTCCTAGACAGCTGGAGGCCCCCAGGCAGTTGCCCAGCTTTCACTGGGTCACTCAACCTGGGGAACTTCCTGAACATGCCTCCACTTCAAGTTACCAGTTAGGCCCAGAGTTCTTAGCTGCTCAGGGTCTGGGCATGCCACTCGAAGAGTGGTAGCTTAGGAGAGATGGGATTAAGTGACAGGAACTAACAGGCTGTATCCCCGTCCCGCAGGCTGGGAGTACGGCATCACCATACCCCCGGACCGAAAGCCAAGGCACTGGGTCCCAGCTGAGAAGATGTATTACACTCACAGGCGTCGACGCTGGGTCCGACTGCGCAGGAGGGACCTCAGCCAGTTGGAGGCACTGAAGAGGGTGAGGCAACGGGAGATGGATGGGAGTGGGCTTCTGGGAGGAGGAGGCCACTGGACATGGACTAGAGCTGTGTACATGCGGTGTGCACAGGCCATCAGCTGGGGACCAAGTATTCAAATGCCCGAGGGACCTTCTCACTCAAAACACCAGGAGACCCAGTGAATTCACGGACAGATTGCACCCAGATCAGTTTAGCATGCATCCACATCACACTGAAAATCTGGGTCGCACTGAGCGCAGAGATCACAGCCCCACCCCACGGAGATCTGGGTCGCACTGGGCGCAGAGGTCACAGCCCCACCCCACAGAGCACACACAGAGCATGTAGGTCACACTGCCCAAAGACTGCACTGGTGCTCCCAGATACGGGTTTGCAGCCTCACTTACAGTCCCAGAAGGCTCAAGGATGTCAAAGGAAGTGCCTTGTGTTTGGCTCCCCAGGGCAGGGAGGCTATGTTCCTGGCAGGCGAGGTTGTGGCCTGGCAGGGGCCCTTGAAACTCACCTGGAGGCAGGGGATGGGGTCTACACCCTGTGAGCCGCCTGAGTGGGGTGTGCCGTGGCGTCCTCACGGGGAGATGGAACACTAGTGGGGGCCTGGGTGTTGAGCCCACACTTCTGGCTGCTGTGATAGGCCACAGTGTGAGTGTGTGGCAAGTGAAAGGCCGAGCCGTCATTTTTCCCCCTGCCCCCCCCGCCTCAGCCCAGCATGCCAGGAAACACAGGCCCACCGTACTTCCTTGTGAACACTCGCAACCATGTGCGCTTGTCCCAGAGTCTGGGGCTGCCCATGCCCAGCCTGGCCTCCTCGCCTGCCTTCCCAGGATCCTCTTGGCATCTACTCTCCATTCCTAAGAACACATTTGGGGTTTGGTAGCAGAACCAGGCCTCTCCCACTCTAAGCGCAATCTTTATGGGACCCAGGTTTCCTCTTCCTTTGAGCGGATACTCTAGAGAGTGATGTTTGGGGTCTGGGGACAAGCTGCTGAGAACCAGGCCTACAGCTCTTTCTGTGGAGGAAATCCAGTTGTTAGAGGTGTGGGCTTTGCTTGGAGGCCCAGACTGAGGTGATAGCTAACGGCAATGCTGTATCACTCTCTCACAGAGCCTAGGGCCAGGCACTTCCAGACTTCCTGTGGGGAAAAGGCCCATTAGAGGAGAGGTGGCCTCATCACAGTTGGCCTAGGTCCACATCTTGGTGAGAAGCAGTCTGACCTTGGGTAGCAGGCTCTTCATTTTGCCTCTGAACTGTAGACCCATTTCTATGTTTAGAAGCTGAGATGTTAAGGAGAAAAAGGAAATGACAAGGAAAGCTTGGATTTGGGCAGTCCACCCCTAGTTCAAATAAACAGCCCTGAAGCCCAGTGTCTAGCTCTGCTGCTGTCTACCTTCCCTGCTGGCCTCCTCAGCTACCCTGTGGCCTAGGAGCCTCCTTTCCCTCCTGGGTTTCTCACTCAAGGCTGCTCAAAGCCACCTTCTTCCAGGTGGCTCTTCCAGGCTTACCCTTTGGAACCCTGCCCTGTCTCTCCCTCTTAGCTGCCTCCTCTCTCCTGCAGCACCGGCAGGCGGAGGCTGAGGGTGAGGGCTGGGAGTACGCCTCTCTCTTTGGCTGGAAGTTCCACCTGGAGTACCGCAAGACGGACGCTTTCCGCCGCCGCCGCTGGCGCCGCAGAATGGAGCCACTGGAGAAGACGGGGCCTGCAGCTGTGTTTGCCCTCGAGGGGGCCCTGGTACATCGGGTTGTGTTTGGCTGGGCTTGGGTGGGGAGCAGCTTGCCTGTCCAAGGCTGTTGTGGGACAGGCGTGGAACCCTGGGTCATGGCTTTTAGCTGGAACGTTGGCCAGCCACCCTGGCTTTGGTCCCTGTGGGGTGGCATGTGGGGAGCGTGAACAGCATTCTGGGTGTCTTCCTGAAATAAGACAGCTCCTTTCTTGACACTGGGATACCCGTTGCTTCTCTGCGGGTGAAGGAAGATGAGAGCAGAGAGGGAGATGACCGGGCCTCTGAGTAGCTCATTACACAGCAAAGTCAGGGGACCTGGAGCTTCCAGCAATGAAGAGAGGCTGGCATAAGTGGGAGCTGGGAGTGGCTGGCGAGGCCTGGTGACCCTGCCTTGTTCTTGGTTGGACACAGTTCTCCCAGGCAGAGACTTTGCTGGGTTTTGAGATATGTATCTGAGAAAGGGGAACCCTGGATGACTACTTCCCACCCTGCCATCCCCTGAGGCATCTTCCATAGTTAGTAGTACTGGGGTTGGCTCAAGTTACTCAAGATCTGGATAATGAGCTGGGGAAGAGATGTTGGCAATCCGAGCAGGAACACTTGGGGCAGGCATACAGCCTGCTCTCTGTTCTGCTGGTCTGGGAAGTCCTGGAGACAGGGTGGAAGGCCCGAAGGAGACCACCACCTCTGGAATACAGCCAGTATTATGTGTGCATTCTTTGTGGGTGCCCTGGGGTGTGACCCTGAAAAGCAGGTCCCATTAACCTTTTATACACAAGCTTGTCTGTACAATGGATATGTGCATGTCAGTGGGACAGGGGTCTAGTAAGAGTCTGTGAGAGTCTAGTGGGGTGGGTTCAGGACATGATGAATGGAAGTGGGGGGGGGTGAGCAGTGGCCCCAAAAAGGCTGGCCAGAGAGGCCCTCCGTGTCAGTAGTGCAGGAGAGGAAACCCTGGAGGCTAGGTAACAGCCTGTGACGGGCTCAGAGAGAGAATTTGTTAGTCCTAGACAAAGCCTTTGCGAGAGGCAGAGTCACCAGAGCTCTGGGCCATAAAGCGTTGTCAGCCAGGACAGGAGCAGGTGAGACAGATGTGCGGGTTTCATAAAGCGAGGCTGTGCGTGGCTGTGTTTGTCCGGTGCTGGCCTGGTTTGGACACTTGGGAGGGCTGAGCGATGGTCCCGTGGCCGAGGCTGAAAGTAGGGGAGGAAGAGCTTGAGGAAGGCCAGGCAAGCACTGAACTGGCCTGCGTTTGACCCCTAGAATGCACATGAAAAAGCTAGGTGGCAGCATGTGCTTATACTCCCAGGATAATCGGGGAGCCAGAGGCAGGAGGATCCCGAAGGCTTTCTGGCCAGCTGGCTTAGCCCAACCATTGAGACGCAGCTTCCAGTGGGAGACTGTCTCAGAAAACAATGTGGGTGCAACAAAGAGACTCTGTTCAGACGGGCTGATGAGCAAGGGGGCTTCGGGCCTCACTTGGTTGGAAAGTGCTCTGGAGAGGAGCCAGGTGTTAGGTGGCAGGAAATTGAGGTTTTCAGGGCTGCCTTTCTTCTTGGTGGCAATGATGGTGCGGGTGGCTGAAGACATGCCGCATCCTCAGCCACAGCCAGACAAACACACACTGCTACCTGTCTCGCATATAGAGAGCCCAGAGTGGCTCAGCTCTGGGAGGAAAATGGCCTTAGCTGGTTGTGGGCCTGCACCAGGCCCTGTGCCAGGGGTGATGGATGGGGGGCTCTGAAGGACCATCCTGCGACTCTGTGATTGGCAGCAGAACTTCTGATAAGGAAAAGAAACTGGAAATAGCAGTAAGCAGAATTCCGGAAGGAGGTCCAGCACTCTTATGGCACCAGAGAGCTGGGCAGTGGTGAGCATAGGTGAGCTCTGGCTGGAGCAGGTATTGGGACCTTGAGTGGAAAGTAATTGAGGAAGGTAGCATCCCATCAGAAGATCCAGAGATGGGGCGACCACCGGGGAAGGAGCCGTGGGACCAAGGTGTTACTTGGCGTGGCAGAGGGACACACAGGGTTGTCAGAGGCTCAGGAATGTAGATCGGAGAGTGTTAGGCCGCAGGGTGAGCCCAAGGTCTCTATGAGTTCACTGTTGGCTCTGGCAAGTCTGACGTTCCGTGTAGCTGTGTGAGGAAAGCAGATCAGGCAGCCCGGGCAGGGAAGCAGAAGGAGTCTGGGTTGAGCGTGAGCTGGGAGGGACAGGACACGTGGCCAGAGGTGCCCAGAGACACATGCGTGAAGCCAGGTGCTGGGGCAGGGTGGGGCTTGCAGAAGGAAGACAAGCAAGGCCAGGGGTCATGGGCCCAAGATTCTTAGTGTAATGATTGGAGGGATAGGGCAGAGTGCTGATGAGATTTCCCAGAAATCTGTTAGTCTGTTGTTTATGGAGAACATGTCAGGGGGGATCGCAGAAGTCAAATGTCAAATTGTCACGGTTTGAGGGGCTTTGAGTCATTTGTGATTAGCTTATGATACGTGGAAGGAACCAGCTCCAGGGAGCCCTCGGTATCCCTGGGGAAACCTGACTGCCAGAGAATCTGAGGGAGATAGTATGGGATTGCTAGAGTGGGTGCCACAGAGCTCTGCGTGCCTTGAGGAGGCTGGTGTCTGGGCAGAGCTGTCATCATTCTGGGCAGTAACTGCCGGATCACTTCGTAACTGAGTACATGGACTCCCCTGAGCCCCAACACAGACTCATGATCACACCTCACATGCCCCATGCCACACTCCCTTCCTGTAGTTACTGACACATGCTTCCAGCGTGGGCCAAAGGATGGGGCAGGCTTCCATCTCTAAGCTTATTGGCCTTGCCCTGGAACATTCCGGTGTCTTGGGCCGGAGACTGGGGCTCATGCTCACTCCACATCATGGGACAGATTTCCAGGTGTTCTGTTACCAACCCACTGTTGGTCCCTGATGTCTGGCTGATGCTTGCTCTGTACTTGGTGTGTGATGGAACAGCAGGCCTCGGGTGCTCTGGATCCTTCTGCCTGCCATCACACATGGAAGAGCTCCCATCTTAGCAGTACTGGAAGGGTTAGCAGTGACAGTGCAGGCTAATGAGCATAGACGTCAACTGAGGACCTGTTACAGTGCCGCCTCTGATGCAGTGTCTGGGTGGGGTCCTGAGAATCGCCACCTCTAACGAGGTCCTAGGTGCTGCTGCTGCTGCTGCTGCTCCTGGGCCATCTTTGAGTAGTGAGGACAGAGACAGTGTGCATTGGCCTCCACTTAGACGCTTTTCTAAGAGAGACTGGGTGTGTGATCAGAGTCCTGGGTAAGGTAAGATAGCATGTTCTGCTGCCCTTTGGTGGAGTCTTGGTCCATGGGGAGCCCTTGTGTGACTAAGGCTGGAAGAGGGATACTCACAGGAGAGTTAAAATAAACCTGCCCCCTTCTCTATCTTTGCTGTTCTATAGTTATTTCAGTGTGACCGTGCTAAAGAAGAGGATGCTTGGAGGAGGTTATAGAGATCTTGAAAGAGCCAGGGAAGGACTGTGGATGGGGTTAAGGGAGCCTCCTGGGAATCTGAGGGGTTTGAATGTCTGGGCCCCAGGACCAGGCCTAGTTATGCTTTGCCTTCTGCCACCCCTCCCCAGGCCTGTGCATCCTCGGCTGGGCTGGGCCTGGTCTGCCAGCTCCCTCTGGAAATGCTCTCCTTGGAAGGCAGGCCCTGTCTGCTCGTTAGCACCAGCAGCAAGGGCCAAGCCTGGCTCCCTCCTCAGAGCGGGAGGCCCTGGCTCAGTCTGCTAAGCGTCTGCTGTCTCCATCCCGCGCATTATTTTATTTTTGTATTATTCTTTTTCCAGCTAATATCCTGGCATTCCCAAAGACACCGGGTTTCATAATCTTCCTGGCGTTCCCAGGGAGCTGGGAATCAGAGTACAAAGCTGCTATTATAGCGCGTTCCATCAGCCTCCTCCTTACCCCACACCCCTCGCTGCCGCCACAGCCACCAACACCCGGCTCCCGCCCAGCCACCCCCTCCTGACGCCACCAGCCTCTCTGGGAACTCTGGTGACGGCTGTTGGGGATGAGCTCACGGAATCTATCCTGTTGCCCTTGCCCTAGGCCTGCCCTCCAGGCACAAGGATTTTCCAAGCCTCTGCACTTGGCCTTGCGGGAGGGGCAAGGCTTCCTTAGCTGTCGGGGCGGCCTGCCTGGAAGGGAGGGAGGAGACAGGCCTGAAGCGTGTGCTGACTGCTCTGGTGCCTTCTGGAGCTGAGAAAGACTTCCATGTTCAAAGGTGCATGGGAGCTGCAGGAGCTGCAGGAGCTTTGGGAAGTTGGATGCCCCCCTCCCCGTGTGTCTCTCTCTTTCGCTCTGTGTTCTCCTGCCCTTCGCCCTTGTATTTGTGTGTCTATGTGACGGTTATATTGTGGTGTGAGGCCTCTGTCATTCTCTACACCTCTAGGGCACCCGAGTCCCCAAGAAAGAGTTGCTAAATCTGTTTAACCACATATCACTGATCAGGCGGTCAGGCTTACATGTTACCCCATATGCATTAGTCCATTTTACAGCTGGCGACAACTGAGGCTGAACCTGGCTCCGATTCAGGCATGGCTCTGTAATTCTTTCCTAAAGTCACTAGAATAAGGACATGGCTCCTGTCACACGGGGCGGTGCAGCATGGGGCAGTGATGTCACTACAGGTTGTTCTTTGAGCCTTGGATGCTACTGCAGAAGAAATAGGTCTGCATCTGTCCTAGAACTGACCTAGGGTAGACAGCTGCCCTCCACCCTCTCCTCAGGCACTTTCTGACTCTTGGCCCGACCCCCAACGGACACGTTCACTTTCACTTTCTCTAGGGCAGAGTGTCTTTTCTGCCCCACCCAAAAGCCTCTTGGGATGGCCTTAGGGAGAAAAGGTCTGAAGTGTCAGGAAGCTCCTATCATTGCTCCTACATTTCAGACTGGCAGCGCAGTTCCTGAAGAAAGCTGGTGGGATAAACCCATCTCTCCACTCAAGGAAGCTGCCACCCAGAAAGCTGCAG